TGTTGCACAGAAGGCTGCAATTTTTGGACTGCGCCCTCATATGCAATTTTGAAAGTTTTTGCAGCTCTTAAAATCCAAAAATTCGACAGATCTGCTTCTTTTCAAATTCACTACGTGCTTCATTATTGGATCGAAGTTGTGCTTCTGCGAACCATTGAGGCTCTTCTGGTACATCAACAATTTCACATTTAAAGGAATCTACAACCCTACTGACCGTATGTGAATCAAGATCTGGAAAGTAATCAGAGAACCGCTCTTCGAGTTTTGTAAGATGCCTTAAAATTGTATCCTTCATGTCGTCAAAAGTTACATTTTCACAATCTTCCAAAAACAAAGCTAACTAAGCAAAGGCAGCTACCTTCTTTTGTTTTGCTTTCTGTCTCCAATATAAAAGCTTTGATCCAAACGTTGAAATCTTTTCTCTGTCTGAAATTATATTGATGTTTATTCCCCGCTATTCTTTGTTAAATGCATTTACATACTCAAAAAAAAATCTCCTAAATATGTGAGCTGTGCTACCCACGAGCGGTATAGAACAACTGTAATAAATTAAATTGAATACCTATTTAAATTGACTTAAACAATGCAAAAACACGTCATAAAAAATAAAGCTAAGGCAGGTATTAAACAACTGAAAAATAACATCTGTTTAACCACTCGACAACGCTTTAAAACCCAAATTGTTTGGAGTTGAAGATATCGTAGCGTCTCTTAAACACGTCTTTACACTGGCAGTTGTAGTGTTGCCGGAAGAAAAGTTTCTGCCGTAAAAGGAACGCGAAATTTTACTTATGTTTACTAGTCCTCGTTACCCCCAAGAATTTCATTTTATCCAACTTGGGGTAATTTACCACGGTTCGCCGACCCCTGATCTAGGTTGAAGAAAACTTTGCAAGTTATTACATCAAGCATGGGATTAAGTGACATATAGTTACTAAGTGGAAGACCAGCTTCTTTCCACTATTTTGTATTTTCCAGATTTTTGCTGTCGTTGTCGAGCAGCAGTGTCATTGTTGTCGCTACATGCAATATTATTGAACAGCATCAAAAGACATCATGTTCAAGTGGTTCAAGGTAGAGACAGGCACTTGCCAAATTCAAGTCGGAGGTGAGGTGACATGCTTCTCGACATTTGTTAAGTTCGTACATTTTGGATCTGCAGGGTGGGATAATGATGCGTCTTGGATTATAATATTTTTGAGAAGCTTTACAAGTCCGCATCGTTTAGGTATCACTGAAGAATCAGCGGGAGGGAGTAGGCGCATGAGTGTTTTTGTATCCAATTTCGTTTCCTCATAAACCTGTCCATGATACACTTGAAGCTATCTAGCACTCTCTTGGTAGGGTTGTAATTTTCGAATAAGTTTGTGAAATCTGAATGTGAGAACACGTCTTAACGCGATTTTCCTGTTTATTCTTAGTGACGGATTTGGTTCTTTCGTTCCCTGAAAGCAGGAGGAAGTCGTTTTTCTTAAGGTAACTCTTCAGTTTTCCTCGGGTTCAAAGAGGGAGCGTGAATTACTCTTACAGTAGCATAGACATTATAGTCATTTCATTTAACGATCAGCAAAAACTGATTTCTTCTGTCT